TATAAATTTTTTATGCTTTGATTAAACTATTTTTTGACACCTTAGATGATGAGCTATAGAATGGGGATAACTCTTCCCTCCCCAAACCCCTCCCCACCTATCTCATAATGCGAACTTGAGATCTCAAATGTAAATATCCAAGCTCTTAACTATTGGCATTTATCCTAGAGGACATGCTTTGATTAGACTAACAACAATGTAAGCATAATCTCAAAGCAAAAATGTGAAATAACATGCAGTTATTGGATGATATATGTAAGTAAAAAAAATGATTCATTAACAACAATTGTTGGCAAGAACAATAGTTTTGTCATTTTCTAATAATCTCTATCACTAAAAATTTTAAATAATAATAATAATAATAATAATGGGAAAGTGTTTATCCATTGGAACTGTAAAAATTTTAGTAGAAAAACACCTAAAACTAGGTCGTTTCTATAAAATTTCATTGCAGAATTCTAAAATAAGCATATGTTAGGGTATGAATGAAGAGTACTTTAATATATTTCTATGTGTTTGATTGAAATGATGTACTTTTGAAATTTTTTTTGTTTAATATTTTTACAGATTTAGTTTATAAACATTAATGTACGTACTATACTCAAAGAAATTCAACTTAGATTGGTTTGGTTCGGTTGTGATTGAATTAAACGGTTTTATACTTATCATGGAACAAACTAAACCTATAGATCTAATACTCTGCATTGCCATATCGTTAATTAAGTATCTTGATCTACTTTGCCCAGCAATGAAAAGTACAAGAGACTTAGTTCAAGAAATAGAAGTAGTATAATGCAACAAATAAATCTAGAAATCTAATTATCAGTATTCAAAATGGAAAGAAGGTGTCAATGACTGAAATAGTTTAGTGGCCTTCCACTAGAAGTAAGAGATTCTAAATTCTAGTCTCAAGGCATGAGGGTGGGGAGGGTTAAGGAAGTGAGAGAGTTGTCTCCCATTGTGCAATTCAAGATAAAAAAAATAAAAAGAAGGTAATGACCATTCAACAACTTAAACCAAGTAATCCCAGAAAAGTAAGTACTATAAACCTACAAAATAATGTATAATTCATAAATAAAATAGGAAAAGGAGAAAAATAATATTATTTAATTAAATTATTTTTTTAATTAGTTTGGTTCCATCAATTGAAGCTAAAAGCACAAATTGAACTAATTTTATTAATTGAAATTTTTTCAAAACCAATCCTTAATTTGTTTAGATCTTTTTGGGTCGAATCAATTGGTTTGAATCGAATATGAATGCCCCTATTTTGGATAACAATTTCTTTTTCATCCTCGGCTT